GAACTTCCCTCTTGAGGCTTTGTTTGTAGGCGGGGAGAAGCAAGATGGAGTCATGGTTGGATTTTCCGAAAGGAGGACGAGAGAGGGCCTGGTTGAAAAGTCATGTAGCAGTGGTCAAGAGTAGAATTTAAGCGAGTTAGACAGTCGATGTGTTTGTGATAATTTGGGAGCACAGGTCTCCAGTTTGTTCAGGCTCCAATGAAGGTCTTTGAGAGCCTTTTTGGTGTCGGCTTGGGGCGGGATGTACACAGCCATGGCGATAATCGCAGAGAACTCTCTCGGAAGGTAAAAAGGGCGACATTTGATGACCAAGTATTCCAAGTTGGGGAGCAGAAGCTCACAAATTCCTGTACGCTTCCCCTGTTGCACCATGTTTTGTTTGTCATAAAGCAGAGCCCACCACCCTTGGTCTTGCCAGAGTTAGCAAGACCAATTGTAGAATTTATACTGACTCTACACACCCGCACACCCACTCACATACAAACTGCTGGTAATCTGTTTATTTTATATTCTGTTGCCTAGTCCGCTTACCCCTAAACATATCTACCTCCATCACTCCAGTATCCCTGCACATGTAAATATGGTATTGGACCTGACTTTTTTAATATTTCCTGTATATAGTATGCTTACTTACTTAAAATGTCCTATTCTTATTTCTCATGTGTCTTTTTCTAGTGTTACATTGTTATTGATTATTGCATTGTTGGGTTTTGAGTTTGCAAGAAAGGCATTTCACTATACTTCTGCATGTGACATTAAAACTTAAAACTTGAAACAATTAATGGGATTTTGTTTCACTGAATCTCCGTCTGTATAGGCTATTTGTTTAATTGGTTTCTGGCTGGGCAAACAAGAGGAGGTGGTATAGCCCATATATTAGTTTGCTCATCTATCACTCATCAGAAACATTTAGCATGCAATAATGTAGCCTAAATCAAGTGTAGGCCTATTATTTTTCTCAATTGCGTATTGGCAACTCCAAAAGCCTGCGGAGGTTGTGAAATACAGTGCATTCGGAAAATATTCAGACCCCTTGACTTTTTCCCCATTTTGTTACATTACAGTCTTATTCTAAAATTGATTAAATAAAAATGTTTCGTCATCAATCTACTGACAATACCCCATAATGACAAAGTGAAAACAGGTTTTAAGAAATGGTTGCAAATGTATAAAAAAAACAAAAACAGAAATACATTATTTACATAAGTATTCAGACCCTATGCTATGAGACTCGAAATTGAGCTCAGGTACATCCTGTTTCCATTGATCATCCTTGAGATGTTTCTACAACATGATTGGAGTCCACCTGTCGTATATTCAATTGATTGGACATGATTTGGAAAGGCACACACCTGTCTATATAATGTCCCAGAGTTGATAGTGCATGTCAAAGCAAAAACCAAGACATGAGGTTGAAGGAATTGTCCGTAGAGCTCCTAGACAGGATTGTGTCGAGGCACAGATCTTTGGAAGGGTACCAATAAATGACTACATCACTGAAGGTCCAAGAGAACACAGTGGCCTCCATCATTCTTAATAGGAAGAAGTTTGAAACCACCAAGACTCTTCCTAGAGCTGGCCGCCCAGGCCAAACTGAGCAATCAGGGGAGAAGGGCCTTGGTCAGGGAGGTGACCAAGAACCCGATGGTCACTCTGACAGAGCTCCAGAGTTCCTCTGTGGCGATGGGAGATCCTTCCAGAAGGACAACCATCTCTACAGCACTCCACGAATCAGGCCGTTATTGTAGAGTGGCCAGACGGAAGCCACTCCTCAGCAAATGGCACATGACAGCCCGCTTGGAGTTTGCCAAAAGGCACCTAAAGACTCAGACCATGAGAAACAAGATTCTCTGGTCTGATGAAACCAAGATTGAACTCTTTGGCCTGAATGCCAAGCGTCACTTCTGAAGGAAACCTGGCACCATCTCTACGGTGAAGCATGGTGGTTGCAGCATCATGCTGTGGGGATGTTTATCAGTGGCAGGGACTGGGAGACTAGTCAGGATCGAGGCAAAGATGAACGGAGCAAGGTACAGAGAGATCCATGATGAAAACCTGCTCCAGAGCGCTCAGGACCTCAGACTGCGGTGAAGGTTCACCTTCCAACAGGACAACAACCCTAAGCACACAGCCAAGACAACGTAGGAGTGGCTTTGGGACAAGTCTCTGAATGTCCTTGAGTGGCCCAGCCAGAGCCCGGACTTGAACCCAATCGAACATCTCTGGAGACACCTGAAAATAGCTGCGCAGCAACACTCCCCATCCAACCTGACAGAACTTGAGAAGATCTGCAGAGAAGAATGCGAGAAACTCCCCAAACACAGGTGTGCCAAGCTTGTAGCGTCATACCCAAGAAGATTCAATGCTGTAATCGCTGCCAACGGTGCTTCAACAAAGTACTGAGTAAAGGGTCTGAATACTTATGTAATTGTGTTATTTCCGTTTCTTTTTTTTTTTTTTTTTTATAAATTAGCAAACATTTCTAAAAATCTGTTTTTGCTTTGTCATTATGGGGTATTGTGTGTAGATTGATGAGGGGAAAAAACTATTTAATCAATTTTAGAATAAGGCTGTAACGTAACAAAATGTGGAAAAAGTCAAGGGGTCTGAATACTTTCCGAAGCTTAGTTATCAGTCAAGGGGTCTGAATACTTTCCGAAGTTATCAGTTATTCTGTTATTCTGACTATTCGGTCAGCATTGATTTAATTTACTTATTTCAGAAATTAGAGTGTTTTCTGTATAGTTGTCTAATGTTGGTGTGGCATATTATTTTGTTTTAATGTTACTCCTAAATCACTTGAATGTATTTTTTATTAAAGCTGAGAATTACTTTGAAGTCCAAAGTGTAGGTGATATCAGTTATTGACACAGACATGGTGGCATAGCCGGAAGATTGGAATGCAGTTAACCAAGAGGTTGTGAATTCAAATCCAAGGCAAGGACATCTTGAATAATAATTACTGCATAAATAAACACACAACGTAGTCATGTAAGGAAAATATGTAGGTTGAAAGCACTGTCAGTGAATCATAAAGACTCATTTTTGTTTGCTGGGCATCACCTGTGAAATCTCATGTGAAAATGTGAATACATATGTGAAACATTATGCGATCACATGAAAATCCACGTGAAACTTCCAATACAACATGGTTTCACATGATTTCACATGTGCAAAAAATGTGGAAATGTCACGTGAAATTATGTGATTTTCCACATGTCAAATTATGTGTTTTTTCCATAAGGGCTGAGTTGATTTCAGAAGGATCCATTGGGGGTTTGAATGCTATGAATGGTTCCTCTTATATTTTCAACACTTTTTCCCATCACTTCTTTACAACCGAAACATATTTCTGTGAGGGAATATTTGCCATAGCTCCAATATGGGGAAGTGTCTAGGAGGCCCTGAGAGAGGATGGGTCCAGTTAACAGAGCATATCTCCTGTGCTAGATAGCATCCTCTCCTACTCTTTTAGCCTGAGACATTTCAATGGTTTCTGCTGAGTCTGTGGGCCTGCCGGGTGAGGTCTTCACACGTCTCCAGGGAATACTATTCTCCACATTTTAAGGGGCTTACATTAAATATCAGTAAGATAAACTGAGCCTGGTAGGGAAACACAAGCATGCCATGACTCTTAACTGGACTGTTACTGGGGTGGATTAACAGGGCTCCGGTGCAGCTGAGCTACTGAAACGCTTTGTCACCCTCACAGACAAGCAGAGAAACACAGAAAAATATACAGAATATACAGGAAACATAGCAAGACATCAACTGCTTTTCAAAAGGTTTGTAAAAAAAAAACACTTACTGTATCACTAACACTTACTCTATCAGCAGTAAGTAAACTATGCCTCAGGCCTTTTGGTGGATGGATGTATATGAGTTGGAGCTCTCTGTCTAATTAGCTGACTGACTGTGTGCCAGCTCATTAAACCAGGAGGGTGAGCAGCTCTGAGGCCCACATGAGAGAGACGTCCCCTTGAGAGAGTGTGGTTTTACCCAGCACCTCTCTTACCTGAGCTTTACTGCCGCACTGTATGTTCTTTACAAACAGCAGTACTACTGCATTACCATCTGTAGGGCTCACTACGTATTAGGGGCATGTATGTATGAGGGGAGACTAAGGCATCAAAAAGGAATGGTGGAAGGCTGGATGATTGGCCTATGGCTGGTATGACTAGTAGCATGAGCATCCGGTCTAACATATGAGCACTCTGAGATTTAAAGATTATATTTCTGCTCATCATGTGTGCCTGATTGCAACTGATTGAGTATGTTATGGAAGAAGACTTACCTCAAGTACTGATTCCCGTTCTCAGCTGCTTGCTTAAAGAGCCCTTCAAACTGATCTCTGGCCAACTGCAAAGACACGACAGGGACCTGATGCTAGATCTGCTTTACCGTGGTTTTCATTTGAACTCCAGTCTGATGCACCCTTTTCCTTTTGGCCTGGTCTCAATCACTCTCAAAAGGCTTATCCATTCTGGGGCAAGTTTGAGAGCTAAGAGTGTGAATAGATTTGCATTTTAGATGAGTTGTGTGTGTGGGATTAAGAGATAAGTGGAGTCCTGTACTGCGTGGATGGGGTAAAGTTAAGTCAATGTTGGGATAAAACGTTTTGGGTATGTTGACAGAAGGTTAGCGTTGTAATCCCTGCTCTGGATAGCTTGCCAGCCTCGTGCCAGTCAGTCAATCAGAGAGCAGCAGTGTTTAAAGTGGGTAAAACATATCATGGATGGCAGCACGTGGGGTAGAGGGATGCCATGAACCAAACTCCTTTAATATGCTAGGATTCTAGGATGATGCTACAGTAGATTGCTAGGATGATTCTAGGTTGCTGGGATGCTTATAGGATGATGCTAGGTTGCTAGGATGGTGATAGGATAATGCTAGGATGGTAAGAGGATGATGCTAGGTTGCTGGGATGGTGATAGGATGATGCTAGGATACTGGGATGTGATCCAAAACACATACAATCAGACTGTGGTTCCATGCCTCACCTGCAGGGTGTGCTCTATGCGGTGTGGGAAGTTCTTCAGGGTACACAGTGGGACGGTGTTCTCGGAGCCTGTCTTGGCCGGTCCGTAGGACTCAGTAAAGTGGGGAACCACCACTGGAGTATGGCCCTTACTACCCAGGGTACCCCTCTCCAGCATGGGCCTCTCGTGTGGCACACAGTGGCCATCCAGGTACACTACTGTAGTCCACACACACAGACAGCAATAGCACCCAAATCTGAATACAATAGGAAAATCTTAAAGTGCCAGATCATATAGACATGTTGGTTTACTTAAAACATTGCTTTACATGTATTATGTTACTCCCCAACCATGCATATAGAGGACGCCATGAACCATGGCCACGCCATGAACCCCATGCATCCCACAATCCTTCTGAGCCAGTAGCTATCTACAAGATCAGTTACATAATGACCTCAGAGTCACAGTCACACTGGGGAATGAGGATAGTCTAGCTAACACCACCAGACAGGCAGCTGCTAATGGACTGTCTGAGGCTGATAACTACACTGTGCTATTACCACAGCTATTACTACACAAATAAAGGATAATAAAATGCCTCTATTGGTGTTTATTACTGATGCTGATGAGACTATTAGCTATTTGTTGTGGTACTAGTGATGTTATTGGTGTCAATACAGCTAGAAGTGTTTGTTGGTCCTGATATTGACAGTAGTGTGGGTGGGTGTTGCCAGTGTATGGATACTGCCACTAGTACTAATACTAATATCAGTAATATGATATTGACACTGGGAGTGCTACAGGCACTGGTACTGACTGGCTTCCACTTTGTCCAGAGCTGCAGCCACTCCATCCAGCCCCATGAAGCAGGTGTGTCCATAGACCTGCTTACTGTCTGGGTCCAGGCGGTTCTGTTGGGCAGTGATGTTCATGTTGGGGTTCATGACCCTGACCGCCTAGGCTGCTACCTCCGACTTCTGTCTCTGTGGAAGGAGAAGTGGTCAGTGAGTAAAGGAGAAATCAGTCTCTCTTGATTAACTATGCTCTTCTCCCATACTAAGAATATGTGCAATAGAGCAAACCAATAGAAACTTTAAAAGAAAATACAGACACAAAAGGCAGAAAGCGAGAACAGGAGGGAAAATGGTGGGAGAGTGGGAAAGACAAGAAAACGACAGCAGAGAAAACTGTGGGGATTGGAAAACCCAAATATTTACACAGTAGTAAGGGAAATCGGGATATACATTCATTCATCATAGATGGATCTGATACAGCAGTGCCATGTATATTTTTACTTCTGAAGGACATCTGGAAGTTGGTAAAAAAGCCAATGGCAGACACTCGGCTACATTCAAATGCAGTGGAAAGGAAACCTGCCACGACTTCCTCCGAAGCTGCCTCCTCTCCTTGTTCGAGCAGGCTTCGGCGTTCGTCGTCACCGGCCTTCTAGCCACTGCCGCTCCTCATCTCATCATTCCATTTGTTTTGTCTTGTTTATTACACACACACACACACACACACCTGGTTCATATCCCCTCATCAGTGCCTGTTTAAGTGTTCCCTCTGCCCCCATGTCTTTGTGTGTGTTTGTTTATTGTGGAGGTTAGTTTAGCTCGGTGGAGCTCCTTGTATTTTGTATCGCCGGGATATTTCACCCGTTTGCCTTGTTGTTTCCCAGTGCGCCTGATTACGCACTGGAGTGTTTTGACGCATTGCTGCGTACCGCTGTTCCTTTGGAATAAACCTTTTTATTATGGGATTTACCCTCCTGCGCCTGACTCCTTTCAAATCACTCGCCGCATAACCTAAATCAACATTACTGTGGCATACGGTTACCCACATTAGGTTTAGCTATATAACAGTTTGGCTGGCACCATTTTTCCTACGTACAATTATGTCCTAAATACTGTATGTTAAGATTTAGAGAAGACAGATATGTGGTTTTTTTTCCACCATTGGGGGTGGGTACGGGTGTGTGTTTCGCATTAATTTTGTTTTGATTTGGCTGAGTGGACAGAAAAGAAAAAAAAACATAATAGGATCACTTTTTACAACCTGCCCATTCAGCAATATATCTTCCTGTTTATGGATGATACTGAGAAACGTGATATGAAAAGTAAATAGATATGAACATGTTGTTTTGTACATTGATCAATTCTTATGGGAATCTCTAGTAAACTTATCAGCATAACAATTGTTTGAAATTGGTAGTTGTTTCCTTGTGGACAGCTTCCCCACATGAAAAATACTACAGTACTTACTATAGATTTCTGTAATAAACTGTAGTATACTATAGAATACTATACTACACACTGTAGTATCCCACTGGGCACAAACTGCTTAAATCAATGTGGTTTCAATGCAATTTGTCAACATTTTGTGATGTGGAATCTACGTTGAAAATACAATGGATTTGAAAAAAGTCATCAACGTAAACTGTTGGTTTTCAACCACAGGATTATGTCATCATGGTAACCAATTTTCAACATAGACAAACCTTGTATACAATATGCTGAATTGGTAACTTTGAAACAACGTCAGATCTTCAAGGTAATATCCACTATAAGAGAAGAAGAAACTGTGTCACACCAGTGCAAAATAGTATAGGTAATGAATGTGAATGGGAACGCTACAGACTTTGTGGCACAGCAGAAAGGTCAGTGTACCTCAAATCAAGAGGTTGTGAGTTCAAATTTCAGGTTTAGCCGTACTTTAGCTGAACACCGATAGCTGAACACCTGAGCTCCAATTTCTCCCACATACAGTACCTCTGACATCACTTACTAAGGAAATTACATCGATAACAGCATTTTCGGCAGTTAAATGTAACAAAACATTATTTATACAAAGCAATCTATTAATATGGTTAATTCATATTTTTTATTTTACATGAGATCATGTTTTCACATGTGCTGTCATGTTGTCCCACCAAAACAAATGTGGTTCTAAATAGTACCAGATAGGGGTTATTTGGCTTGTAACCAATGAATGTTCAATAAAGGACCATGCTCATAAGATTCTAAATGCAACCTGTATGGTACTAAAAATAACCCTTTCCTAAGGTTCAATAAAGAGACATTAAAAAAGGTCCTACACCAAAATAAAGTGTTCCACTATAGGTACAACCCTTTTTGGGGCTATATATAACCCTTTTTATGGTTCTTTATAGAAATTCATAAGGAATGGTTCTATAAAGAACCTTTTTCAATCTGAAAGGTTCTTTGTAGATCCTTTTGAAGAACCATAAAAGTTTTTATTTTATTATTCTGGTCAGCCATATTATATTGTTAAAATTCCATAGGTGGTATTATTGTGTTAATTGACAAGTTGAGTCAAGTGAGCTACCTCTGGAACAGCTAGGGGTCCCTGAGGAGAGAATTGAGAAACGTTCACTGATTCATATACACTAAGTGTACAAAACATTAAGAACATATTCCTAATATTTAGTTGCACTTGCACCCCCCACTTCTGCCCTCAGAACAGTCTCAGTTCGTCGGGGCATGGACTCTACAAGGGGTCAAAGACGTTCCACAGGGATGCTGGCCCATGTTGACTCCAATGCTTCCCACAGTTGTGTCAAGTTGGCTGGATGCCCTTTGGGTGGTGGACCATTCTTGATACACACAGGAAACTGTTGAGCGTGAAAAACCCAGCATCGTTGAAGTTCTTGACACAAACCGGTGCGCCTGGCACCTAATATCATACCCCGATCAAAGGCACTTACATCTTTTGTCTTGCCCATTCACCCTCTAAATGGCACACATGCACATACACAATCCATGTCTCAATTCATCTACACTGATTGAAGTGGATTTAACAAGTGACACCAATAAAGGATCATAGCTTTCACCTGGATTCATCTGGCCAGTCTATGTCATGGAAAGAGCAGGTGTTCTTAATGTTTTGTACACTCAGTGTATAATTTGTGATGGCTTAACACAACACATTAGATAAACTGTAATGACACTCTCACTCACTTGCATAAAAAGAGCTGTGTGCAAACCACACCCAAAAATATTCTAATAAGCCAACTAATAAGCCAACATTTTAATTATCACTAAATAAGCAAAGAACCCTTTTGTGAACTGTAAAGAAGCATTGAAGAGCTCAAAGTTTTTTTTGAGTCATTATGGTTCCAGATAGAACCATCACCCGTCCCAAAGAACCCTTAAGGAAGCCTTAAGGAATCGTGCGCACGCACGCACACACACACAAAACAAACAAACAAACAACAGCAAGGAAGCCTGGTGACAGAGGGCTTGGTAGTGCTGACTGGTTACTGCACGCCCAGGACCAAACGCTAACAGGAAATGCCACCTGAATCACAGTCGTTTCCTGCATGTGTCATTTTCAAACAGCAGCCCGTTCGTTACCAGAAGGAAACACTGACGCTGCAGCATTTTTGGCCATGCAGAGGACACCCCCTGCTGGTGAGAGATGAGATGTGCACGCACAATGAAATTGTTTACCAAGCCTCTCCTGGAAGACTAATTTAGGCTCTCGGTACGACGGACACTCTGCAATAGAGCAGTGGTTAGAGCACCCAGACAGGGAATAAATATCCACCAATGGATCAACATGTATGACCAGTTTCTTTAGGGATTATATCACACTTGATCTGCTAGTTCAAGTGGCTTCCACAGATTCTAAAGATGATTTATTAGCCTACTGTTACAACACTTGGTGAAACAGGCAAATATGTCAGAAAAATATTTGTTGAGTGAATTCCAGTTTTTATTGAGCAATACATATCAATGTATGAATGTTCCGTAAGAGAAAAATAAATGTTTTTTGTACTATCACTGACCTGGGACCTTGCATTAGGCAGTCGTCCCTTGCTCTTCACAAAGCAATGCAGGGCTTGGAAGGCCAGGTGCAGGGTCTGGCGCTTCGCTATCTTCCCATAATCAGTCATTACTAGTAACTCAGCATCAACTAAGGCCTCGTCCAGGGGGTTCTGTAACAAGTAGGGAGAGTTACAACAGAAAGGCATAGTGAACTGACCACTGTCATCTTTAACATTGTATAGTTTTATGATACTTTAAGTAAATCTGTGAATATTATTATTTTGATATGGATTAATGCCTAACCCTTTATAATTAATATGAAAAACATGAGGCAATAATGCTTACAAATCTGAATATCCTTGACTTTTTTACCTCAGTTGCTACACTGCCTTTCTCATTCTCTGAAAAGCAAATACTGATAGAAACAGAGCCTGAAAATGAAAGAGGATGTCATATTTTACACAGACATAGTCTGTGAAATGGGAATCATCATATTCATTTACATATTTGTTATTTATTTAACCTTTATTTTGACAGGGAAGTTACACTGAGACCATGGTCTCTTTTACAAGTGAGCCCTGTAGATATACAATTATACATATCTATACAATAAAAACCCTTAATATACATGTTAATCATTAAAAAAAACGAACTACACAATCATACACACAATGCAATCAGAAAAAACAAATACATTCACCACTAAAAGGTCCCCTAACAGCAGTCTGAAAAGCCCTAGAGGCATCACTTTTTCAATTTTCAGGGTGTTTTGGAGATTGTTCCACATGAAAGGTGCAGAAAATCAAAAAGCAGATCTACCCCATTCAGTGGAGATCAAAGGGATCTCCAATGTTAGGCATCCCTGAGCCTGAGTCCAGTAGCCCGTATGCCTGTACTTCAACAATGTAGTAAGGAAAGGCGGGAGTTTATGTAAGAGGGCTTTATAAACAAAGAGAGTGCAGTGCATCAATCTACGAGACTTCAAAGAGGCCCAGCTTACTTTATGATACAAAATGCAGTGACGTCTGCTGAACCTAATCGCCCGTATTAAAGCATAGTGCGCTATGATAAACTGCATCTACAGTGCCTTGCAAAAGTATTCATCCCCCTTGGCGTTTTTCCTATTTTTGTAGCATTACAACCTGTAATTTAAATAG